CCCGGTCTGGCCCCGGTGGCTTCCGACCGAGAGTCAGTGCTGTGGTCGGCTCGTCGTGCTGCCGTCCGGGTCTCTTCACCTTTGGTTCCCAGAGTCGGCCCGCACCCCTGGTTTTCCTCCGTGCTCCTTCTCCTTGGAGCTCTCCAAGTGCCTTTAGTCTGTGGACAGTAGTTATCCATTTTAGGTATTATTTGTTCTCAAAGTTTTTCCTGCACAACCTGCCCCTACCTCCCCTGGGCCTGCGTTGCCCCATAGGCCACCCGGGCCATTCCCTCCTCCGTGCAGTTCATTTTGGATGGTTTCTGTCAGCTCGTCGCCAGGCTCGCTTCTCGTGTGGTTACGTGCTCCTTAAGCCTGTCAAATGGATTTTTCATTTTACATATTTTCAAGCTCTAGGATTTCCACTGGAGTCTTTTTTCAATAGTTATAGACTGTGGAGAGTCCCCACCTGTTCAGCCATTGTGTCCATCTTTTTTTAAAAAATCTTAAACTTACGTTTGTAACTTTCCCATTTCTTGTATCTTAATTACAATGCCCACTTCATTTCTGGGTCTTTTTAACATATATATATATATATGTTTGTTTATATATCTATATAAACATATATATATATAAACATATATATATATATATATATTTTTTTTTTTCACAAGCTGGACATTGTGGACTCGACCTCGTTGAGCATCAGGACCCTTGTCTTCCTTTGGGGATTCTCGAGTCTCAGTCTCGTGGGCTGCCGGCGAGTCCGCCTGTCGGCCGGGTCTTTCCAGGCGCGTCTCCGCTGTCCATGCAGCTGTAGAGGCACCACTCCTCTCGGCTCTGGGGGCCCCACCGCAAAGGCGCGCCTTGGCCAGGGTTTCCCCCGCAGGCTGTGTGTTCTGCAAGGAACCCCACTCTGCTGTCTGGGGTTCCCTCACTTTCCTGCAGTGAGGACCCTCCAGAGTGTGGATTTAGCTTATAGCTTCTCAGTAGCTGCTCCAGCCGTGTGACATCTTGCCTGGCACATGGCACTTTAATTTGGCCAAATGCTCAGGCGGCCTCAGTGGGGATCTCCCGAGCCGTGCTGGTCCCTCCACTCACACGCCACCCTGCAGGCCTCCGCAGTGCTCTGCTGGGGCTCTGCCCCCACACACTGTGGCCGCGGCCCTGCGGTCACCCTGTTGCCCAGTTCACGGCTGTTCATGGTGGGCTAGTCAGGGACTGCCCACGGTCACGGCCGAGGTGGGAGTCCAGCCATTTCTGTGTTCAAGCTGGCCAGCATTTCCATTGTCCTGTGTTTGAAGAGAACGTTTCTTTTTCCTGGTAGGTCTGAGGGTTTTCTGTTGTGTTTCAGCATCTCCCTCTGACACGCTGTTGGGGGTTTGCAGTGTTCTCGATTACGTTGGGACGCTTCCTGCTAGTCTGATGAAACTTGCAGCCGTTGTCCCTAAACGTGGGGCTTGGCCTCCCTCATCCCGCCTCCTGCTCTCAGTTACCCACGGTAGACTGTTCCTTGCAGGCTCAGTTTTCCACGGTTTCCTTCCTCCTTGTCTTTTCGTGTTCTGGACTGGATGTTTTTTCTGAATAATGTTCGCTGATTCTCCCCCAGGAGCTGCAGCGGCTGGAGGCAGAGCTGGGCCGGCCCCCCGAGCGCTGGAAGGACACCTGGGACGGGGTGAAGGCTGCGCAGCGCCTTGAGGGCCGGCTAGACGGACGTGTGAGCAGGAGTGTGCGTGGGGGCCGGGAGGGCTTGCAGCCAGGCGAAAGCAGACTGCCCAGCTGATACAGGCCCCGTCTCCGGTCCGCAGGGCGCCCCCAGCTCCCTGCTGGTGTCCAGTGTGCCCCACCACCGCCGCTCGCTGGGTGTGTACCTGCAGGAGGGGCCCGTGGGCTCCACCCTGAGCCTCAGCCTGGACAGTGACCAGAGCAGTGGCTCGACCACATCCGGCTCCCGCCAGGCCGCCCGCCGCAGCACCAGCACCCTGTACAGCCAGTTCCAGACCGCCGAGAGTGAGAACAGGTGCGAGGGCCACCCTTGCGCTGTAGGCGCTGCTGAGGGGCGGCTCTCGAATGGGAGGCAGGGGCCTTTGGGGGAGCTTCTAGCTGTTCTCAGGTGGCCCAGTGTATGCTCACACTTGCTAGGGAGCAGTGGGTGGGCTCGGAAGGACATAGAACCAGTGACCGCAGCCAGGCCACGGTGGCTATAGAATGGGGACAGGCTGTGGGGACCGTGAGGGTAGGTCAGGTGCCAGGCGAGGTTGAAGTAGGTTCTCGGTGAGGCCAGGGCCTGGCGGGCTGCAGCCCACCCTCCTCGGGCTCTGGGGACCACGTTGCCACAGTCACCTGCCTGCTGAGTGTTCCTCCTCGTCTGTGGCACCCGACCTGCACGTGGGGCGGCTTCTCTGACGCCCCGAGGCTCTGATGTGGGGTCACATGTCTGTCGAGTGAGGGCTGTGGGGGGCCTTCTCCGCCCCTTCTGCGTGTATCTCCAGGGCTTCTTCAGGGCCCTCGTCCAGCAGTGCCCTTGTTTGGGTCAGTGTGGGGACAGGGCCCACAGTCTTGTTGCCTGACGGGGCCTGTGTGAGGGAAGGGCAGGGGCTGTGGTTCGGGCCCCGATGGCCAGCCCTGCCCTGGATCCACTGCAAACACAGGTCCTACGAGGGCACCCTCTACAAGAAGGGGGCCTTCATGAAACCCTGGAAGGCTCGCTGGTTCGTGCTGGACAAGACCAAGCACCAGGTGAGTGGTCGGTGGGCATAGGGTGGGCAGGGTTGGGGGACCCTGCCCTGACATCCTGTCCCCCTCAGCTGCGCTACTATGACCACCGCGTGGACACGGAGTGCAAGGGCATCATCGACCTGGCGGAGGTGGAGGCTGTGGTGCCGGGCACGCCCACCATGGGTGCCCCCAAGACCGTGGATGAGAAGGCCTTCTTTGATGTGAGCTGTGGCCAGGGGGGTGGGGGGTGGGGGGTGGGGGCGGCTCCGCAGACGGGGCCGTGGAGTCAGCCGCCCGCCCTCCACAGGTGAAGACGACCCGTCGTGTTTACAACTTCTGTGCCCAGGATGTGCCGTCGGCCCAGCAGTGGGTGGACCAGATCCAGAGCTGCCTGTCAGATGCCTGAGCCTGGCCCCGTGCGGCTGCTCCGCGTCCAGTTACAGACCACTAGGGGTGGGCAGGGCCCCCCGGCCATGTTTACAGCCCCCGCCCTTGACAGTATTGTGGCCCCGTCCCCAAACTCATGTGTACAGCCCCTGCCCACCCCGCCCGCCTGGCCAGCTCTAACTTATTTCAGAGTCCTGGCTGAGTGCTGGCCGGGCGGCACCATGGTACGGCCCTCTCGGTGGGCCTGTAAATAGCCCAGCCCCGGCCGAGTGGTGGCCCCGGCCGGCCCGCAGGCAACCTGTTCCTACAACCAGAGTCTATAAAGAGAACTAACTATGTGCCACACGCCTGCATCTCCTCGGCCCACCCAGGGGTTCCCCCCACCTGCCACCCATTGTCCAGGATCCAGGTCCACCATGTGAGGGCTGAGTGCCCGTGGCTGGTCGTCCATGGCCCTGGGGCCCCGAGTGCTGGGGTGGCCTTGGGGCCGGCACCGCCTGAGAGGCAGACTTCCCTCCCTGCCCCAGCAGTGCCCAGTGTTGTAAGGAAGGAGAGTTTCCGAAAGGGGAGGTGGTGCTGGCTCCTTGGGTGGCTCCGGAGTCTGTCCAGAGGCCTGGCTGGGTGGGGGTGGCTGGGGGTGGGGTTGTGCAGACCCGCTGGTCGCACGGAGACGCCGAGGACGCTGGGCCGGGAATCCAGGTGCCCGAGGGTGAAAGGGCGTTTACACGTGGAGGGTGGGCACGTCCCGTGTGTCGGGCTGTTACTGTCCTGGGAGTCCGCTCCGTGTGCCCTCCCCCTCCCAGCTTGTCTGGGAGATAATGGCCTTGTGTGGGGTGGGCAGCACAAGAGGTGTGGACACCACAGAGCTAGCACCTGTCACGTGGAAGGTAAGCAGCAGGTGTGGACACAGGTGCAGGTGGGGCCTCTGCCGGCACAGGGGGCCCTCAGCTGGGCCATGAGGGACACTCTGTAGGTCACATGGACAGCAGTGGGACCAAGGCTCCCCACACCCAGGAAACCCACAGGTCCGGATCTGGGGACCATGGGGTTGTCCAGGGTGGGGGCTAGGTAGTGAGGCCAGAAGTCAAAGCAGGGGGTGCCCGGGGCAAGGTTCCCACAGCACTAGGGCTTCCTGGGAGGCCCTCCCTAGGGTCCTGCATGGCCAAGGTCAGACCTTGCTGGGGCAGCCACTCTCCCACCCCCCTTTTGTCCCCCCAGGCAGAGCACAGGAAGAGAAAGCTCAGCATGTGCTCAGGGGCTGGGACTTGGCAACAGACATCCCGCCCCGTGGGGTTAGGGCCCTGCAGCCCAACAACACGCAGGTTTGTCAGTAAGAATAACACAGCTTTATTGGGAGCTGGGGTTTGGGTGCCCTGTCAGATCAGAATGTTGAAAATGAACATCACACAACCCTGCAGGCCTGCCAGAGTGATGGCCCTGCCCCGGACAGGTGCAGCCCCACCCCAGCCTGCTCCTGCACGCTGCGGCCAGGTGCCCAAATGTCCCACCCAGAGCGCCAGGGCTGGCACACCCCTGCTGGGCCAAGAGGTGTTTTTAAGGCAGTCAAATTTTGCATCCTGGCTCCAAGGCCAACTCTCACAGCCACTGGGCAGCTAACACCCCCTGTAGCCAGCCCAGCTCTGGACAGAGTTTGTCCCAAGACGGGGGGCGGGCCCCTTTACCGCAGCTGGATACAAAGTGCAAACACGGCTCCTTCTGCGTTGGTTAAAAAGTCAGTAAAAACCGGCTGGCAGCCTGTGGTGTCCGCCTGGCCTGCCCTCGGTCCTTGTGGCACCTCAGGGCCTCGGCCTCGGCCCCCACCCCCAGCCCCGGCGGGCAGAGTGCAGGCCTGAAGCCTTATTGCTGTGCGTGGGGTCTGGCAGGCAGGAGTGACGAAGCTGGGCCGTCCAACTGGGTCCCACTGCCAGCTTTACCAATGCAGCATTTATTTTAAAATTAAATTAAATTAAAAAAGACAAATTGCATCACCAGGTAGGTTTTGATTAAGGGCGCCATGGCTGGGCGGCAGCATCACACGGGGCCGTTGGAGGTGGCTCCTGTGGGTGGGGGTGCGTCTACCTTCCTGCAGGAAGAGGGGTGGGGTTGGGACCCAAGGGTCCAAGGGTCCCTGTCCAGATCCCTTCCCCTGGCCCAACCTGCTCACCTGTCCTTTGTCACTGTCCCCAGAACGGCCACTGTAGAGACAGCTGGGCTGGCTGTGGTTGCAGTGGTGACAGCCACCATAGGCCCTGGGGGGACAGCCACAGCCAGGGCAGAGGTGGCTTCAGCAGGTGCAGGGGAGGTGGGACCTGGCAGCGTGCTGGTGGTCCTGTGTGGCAGGCATGGGCTCAGCTCCTGGGGCTGTCTTGCCAGAGACAACCCACCTGCCATCGAGGCCTCCCACCTCCTCCAGGCAGTCCCCGCCCCGCCGGTGCAGACATGCGCCCTGTTACTGTGAATGACACGGGCCCTGGCACTGCCCGAACAGCCTCCCCCGTGTCTGCCCAGATGCTCCCTCCCAGCCCTGGACTCCTCAGCCTGGCCCACACCTGGCCAGCAGCTGCTTCCCCTGAGCGTGCCAACTCCAGCTGCTCAAGGAGCCCAGGGAGCCTGCAAGGGCAGAGTCGGGAGAGGCTGCACCAGGCGCAGCCAGGCAGCGCAGGGGCAGACGCCAGCCAGAGTGCTCACGACGAGCCCTGTGCAGACTGCTCCACAGAAGCGGGCAGTCTGCTTTCAGAATGACACAAGGCACTTTTCAGAGCACAGTTGGTTTTTTAGAGAGGGGAGATTAGGGAGAAATTTAAGAATTGTATGATTCTTTAAGGACACCCAGGGTGGGGGCCCGAGGGGGCAGGCCGCGTCATCTGGGGTCCCAGGACCAAGCTGAGAGCCAGAGCAGGGTCCCACCGATGGGCTGCACAGAGCTCCACAGTCACGTGGGGACCAGGGGTCGGGGATCCTGTCAGGAGCCAGCCTGCCCCACCTGTGGGGAACACAGGGCCCGTCTCCCTCAGGGAACACCCCCTCCTGTGTCAACTGTCTGCTCCTTGTCCCCTCTTGGTGAGGTCAGGCCGGCAGACCACCTGCCTCTCCAAAACACAGCTCTCTAAGCTGTCCCCTCCCCCACCCAGTCCAGCCAGGGGAGGTCTGTCTGTCCATCAATGAATCCCAAAGGCGAGACTTTCTTCTTGAGTATGGGGATGGAACATGGTGGGGGCTGAACTTGCATAGAGGACACCCCCCACCCTGATTAGGGTTCAGTGGCAAAGTCCTAACACCCCCATCCTACTGCCCCAGTGTGATGGGCATCTCCCGGGTGCCAGTTTAGGTGGGCACATGCCGAAGACTCAACACACACCAGACAGGACAGAAGCTGAGCCCCCTCCCCACCCTCTGGGGCCCCCCCAGAGCCTGGAGTGGTGGCTCTGCTGGGCTGGAACTGCACAGGCCAGGCCATTCTCTCCAAGGCGGGCCTAGGGCGGGACGGCCCCATCCCTAGGACCCTGGGGTGGGCCATTCAGTCCCACTGTGCTATCTCAACACATCATCCAGGGGCATCCCTCCCCACAGAGCTCCCTCCACGGGGTCACAGGCCCATCAGGCAGCAGGTTCTGCCCGCTCCTGGGTGAGCCAAGTGCTACAGAGACCAGACCCTCGGGTGCCTGCACCCACCCCGCCCTGCACACCTGGGGGCTGATGCGGGCACTGGGGGGGCCTCCTGACCAGGACCCACGCTGACGGCCTGTGAGGCAACAGCCACCTTCTGCTCATCCTCGTTGCTGTCGGAGGCCACCAGGGGGGCGTCCCTGGAGACACACGCACTCCAGGCACGTGGGGCAGCAGGGCCAGCTGCAACACAGGGTCAGAGACACTGGTGAGGGCAGAGGGGCCCCAAACGCATGCGGGCAACTTAAGAGCTTCAGCCTGAAAACCCAGCACTGTCCTCCCCTGTGGGTTCCCATTCCCACCCCTCCCTACGTGGCCCTGACACACCGGGGTCTCCACGCCTGTCCGGTGGGGGCACAGGGCCAGGGGCTCTGGACAGGTCCCCCAGATGACACTAAGGTGGCACAGTGGGCATGCAATGGCACGAGGCAGGTGGCCAGTGGCGGCGGCAGCAGCACAGATGAATGCAGGGCCTGACCCGCACTCCCAGGGTGGCCCTAAGGCCTTGCAACCCCCATCCTGGGCCGGCACAGCCTCCTCCCACTGCCCCACCCTCACGGCCGCTCGGACTCACGGGTTGTCTCCAGGCCCTGGCTGAGGCCACCCTGGGCATCGTCATGTCCCGTGCCCACCGGGGAGCTGCACCCAGGCCCCGACTCCGAGCTGTGGACGAAGCCGAGGCTGAAGCTGTGCCGGGGAGACACTGTCCCAGAGGTGGACGAGGTTGCTCCGGCCTGCCCTGCCTTCCTTACCAGCGGAAAGGCTGGAAGTCAGTGAACTTGGCCCAGCCTTTCTCCTCCAGAGCCGAGGTGCTGGGGACGCTGGCTATCCACACACTGGAACCCACATCCATTGCTACTCCTGGGGCTGGAGCAGTCGGACTCACCGGCTCATCAAACGCTGTCCATGTGGAGCCTGCCAGGGCGAGATGGAGTGGCCCGGGCCCTTGACCAGGAGGTCGGCCCCTCCTGTCCTCAAAACCCCCAGCCCAGGGGCAGCAAGGGAGGCCCCATGAGAAGAGCCGTCTTCCCAATGGGCCTGGTGGCTGACGTGGCTGAGAGGGGCTGCTGAGAACTGAGCCACAGCATTTGCCACCAGCCCCGTGTCCTCACAGTCAGTGGCCTGGGAAGCCACTGCCTACAGGGTCGTGACCTCCCCTGACAGCTCAGCGGGTGTCGGGCCCCAGGGAGCACCCACCAGGCACAGACAGGGCACTCCATCCTCCGTCACCAGGTTCCCCACCCAGCCTGAACTCAGCACCCCAAGTGTCACCTTCTGAGGCGCCCTCCATGCGAGGACCGTCCTGGGCAGCGGCTGAAGGGGCTCTGGGCCCATCCCCATCCGCTTCCTTCCCGTCTTGGCCTCCACGGGCCAGGCTGTTCTCCCGGCAGCTCCCTAAGGCAGGAGGGCCCCCAAACCTGGAGGAGAAGCACGGTTAGGGCCACGGGGCGTCACAGCTGGGGCAGAGCTAGGGTGCACGGGCGGCCACAGGCTTCTGTTTCTTAAGGAGGCTCAGGGAAAGTGGGCAGGCCGCACACCTGGCTCTGGCCGTGACCCGGGCAGCACAGTGAGTCTCCTTGTCCTCCCAGATGTCATCGTCCTCGTCGTCATCAAAGGGCTGGATGTGGTCACTGCAGCAGGCCTCAAACAGAGCTGCGCTGGGCTGCGAGACCCCACGTGTTCCGCTTGGCTCCCAGGGGCCCGGCCCACAGCCTCCCAGGGTGGGCCCCCAGCTGGGAGGGACAGGGCTCCCACAGGGCAGCCCCTCCCCTCCCCTCCAATACCCACCGCCACCGTGTCCCTGTTCCCCTCCAACGAACACTAAGCGGGGGACTCACACTGTCCTCGTCAGCGTCAATACTAAAGTTGATCTCTGCAATCCGGTCAAATGGAGCGCTGAAAGGGCAACGTGGACACTCAGCACCTGGGCAGGTGGCATCACCTCACAAGGGCACCTGCTGCATGTGCCGATCGGAGCTGGGCTGGAGACCTGAAGGAGTCTGCAGCCCAGAGCACGCGGTGGCCGAGTGAAAGGCCGGAGCTTCACGGCCAGTCCAGGAGCAAAGCTGTCACTGGGACAGGGCCCTGCCCTGCGCACACCTGCTTTCCCTCCAGCTCTGGGAGGAATACCTGGGTGGCTCCCACCTGGCGGCTGTGTCTGGTCTGAGGGTATCTGGGGGCTGTGGGGGCACACTCCGCCGCGCCTGCCCACATGAGTCACACCTGGCTTTCAGCTGAGGAAATGGATGGGGGGACCTGGGCAGCCTGAGAGGAAACCAGGTTGGGGCAACTCCATCCTTCCCAAAGGGACTGAGAAAAGGGGTGCGAGGCACAAATCGGGCTCATGGTGCGCAAGGGAGGCAGCCCCAAGTGACGCACAGGATGCTGGTCGGAGCCGGGCTACCAAGAGCGACCAGCGAGCGTGTGGTCCTAGGGGCTCACTTGACACTGTCGTCCTGGTCTGCAAACTCCTCGTCATTGAAGCCAAACTGGTCCACAAAGGCAGCTGTCATCTGCTGGACCTGGTACTCAGAGAAAGCCTGGGAGGGAAAGACGGCATCGGGGGCGGGCCTCAGACTAAGGCTCCTCCCTGCCGCTCACTACGCAGGCTGCGTGCTCACGTGAGTCGCTTTCAAACAACCCACGTAACTTTCAAGTGGCCCATGTATCTCCAGAGGCCCCGTCGGCGCCAGTGGCTCTGGGGCAGAGGGAGCGCCTGCCCCGGGGCCGTTTCCCATGGCAGCTGGTGCCTCCTGGGGAGCCCTGGAGGCCTCGGCACCGCCAAGACCGTGGGGGAGGACCCGACAACACACACCTGCTGAAGGGACAGCTCGTTGGGGAACACGCCCTCCATGTCCTCGTCTTCACTCGAGGGGTGTAGGTGGTGGGTGCTCACCTGCAGCAGCAAGGGGGTAGGCGTGAGTCTGTGCCCCGGGTCGGGGCCCAGCCCGCTCCCCACATGTAGCCCACATAGGGTCTGGGCACGATTAGGTCTCGGAGGCCACACTAGGGCCCCCGACGTGCGGGGCAGGACCCAGGGTTCCTCACTTAGACTGGCCCGGGCCCCAGGCCGGGCACAGAGCAGACCCGCACGCACACACCGGACGGGCCCCCTCACCAGGTCCACGGCGTTTCTGCGGTTGGTCTCCGTCAGCGTCTCCTCCACGAAGCTCTCCCAGCGCCCACGGCAATCTGCAGGGAGTCCTGTGAGAGAAGCACCGTTGGGTCCTGAGTGCCACTGTGGAGGGTCCTGGAGGGCCCCTGGGTGACAACTGAGAGCTGCTGGGACCTGCAGGGCTTCATGGGGTCATGCGGGCACAGAGGCTGCCTGAAGAAGGTGTCAGAGACCTAAACTTACTTAGCACACAAGGGACCCCAAGGGGCCCCAGCCACAGAGCAGTGGCATAGGCTTCTGTGACAAAGTGGCTGACAACCCGGCCTCAGCACAACCCACTGGCCTGTGTCTGTTTTTCTGGGGAGGTCGAGCCTGAGAGAGATTCGAACCCCGGAAACACGGAGAGAAGACACAGCGAAGAGTTTCCCACGTGCCTGTCGTCCCCCAAACTGGGCCTTCGTGGGCCTCAGCCCTTGCCAGGGACACCCAGGGACCTGGAGCCTGACCCCATCCAGAGGCCATAGACTGAGAACACCCAATGTCCCCAGAACAATTCCAGCTTGCACCTGCTCTGTGGCCAGGGGCTGCCTCACTGGGCCACCCAGGGCCCTGCCTGGCTCCATCCTTGAAGCCCAGCACTGCAGACCGTGTGCCCAGGGTACGAGATGGGAAGGGGCTAGGTCACGACTTCCCAAGGGGGGGGCCCTAGAGCATGATCTGGAGAAAGCCCCAGGGGCGGGGACGGGTGACAGGCCCAGGGTGAAGGTGAGGCTGGGCTGGGGCAGGGCTGCAAGAGTTCAGAGAGCAGCCGCCGAGGGCAGGACTCAAGCATGCTCGTGCATCCGGGAGCTGAGCCTGCGCTGTGCAGACCTCTGGGCTCCAGGGCCCAGGCCCACCCGCAGGGAGATCCCCATGGGAAGGCGGGCCGACTGTCCAGTACCCATGCAGCTGCCACTGGCTGGAGGGGAGGCAAGGCAGCCTTGGGGAGCCAGACCTGTAACAGGGCTCACCTCGGATGACCTCGCTGACTGGGGTCTGCACAGGGCCCCTCTCCAGGTTCCGCACCACTGCGTTGGCGATGCGGGTGAGGTGGCCCATGTTCCCACGCCTCATGCCACCGGCCGCCCTGAAAGTAGAGGGTGGCATGTGTCAGGCTGCTGGTCCCGGGCCTCACCTGTGGGACCCAGGGCACCTGCCCCACCTCCACTGTGCAGCAGCGGGGCTCACACCTCGAGTTCCCCACCTGCCCTGTAAAGCCCTCTCAGCCTCTGCTGCCTGGCAAGGCTGCCCAGTGGCCCCTTGCCAGCACTTGGACAGCTTCAGCTGCCCCCGCCCCCAGAGCCCCTCCAGCAAGACCTGGAGCCTAGCGCCCAGGGGACGCCCTGCCCAGCAGCAGCAGACACGCAGGAAGACGCGGACACACTCCTGCAGCACCGCAGACGGAGCATGCTCTGCTCCGGGGGCCTCGCATGGAGGGGCTCTCCAGCTGCACAAGTCACCTCACTCACTGAGCTCTGGGCCAGGGGTGGTGCTCTTCCAGGCTCCTGTCCGTCTTCCCCATACTTGGCCACGAACATGTGGCTGTGTTCAGCTTCTCATCTGCCCCACACATGACCCAACAGTACGGCAAGTCCCAGCGTCCCAACAAACGGGAAGAGCTCCAGTGTGAAATGTTCATGTGCTCACATGTCCACAAACAGCCCTTGAACCAGGGTGAACAAAGCCTGCTTTCCACCATGCGCTTCCCCTAAGACCCCGAGAATGGCCAGGAGAGGAAGGTGAGCGAGCAAGCGCACCTGAGCTGGAGACGCAGGCCAAGCAGAGGAGGGCCAGGAGAAAGCCGGAGGGGGCACAGCCACAGGGGAAGCTGTGTGTGTGGCAGGGGAGGGGGCACACACGTGCTCAGTGCAGGGCCACACTGGGCCCCGCACGCACTAGGCCCAGGGGAAGCTGCCAGGCCCTTGCAGCTGACATAAAAGAACGGGCACCAACTGGAGGGCTCGGTAAGAGCAGGATGTGAAGGAGGAAGCCGGGAGCGGTGGTCAGATCAGGGCAGCGGGTGGGGCTGCCCACACTGGACCCTGCAGGCCACCCTGGGGACCTGGACGGTCAAGACTTTCAGGCAGGAATGATGCCACCTGAGTGTTTCAGAAAGAGGCCAGGTGGGACAGGAAGAAGCAGGAAGTAGCTGGGCACTCCTGAGGGTTCAAGGGCTCAGTGAGAGAAATGGCTGGTGCTGGGACCTGGGACAGGTGACCTGCCACGACGTGGGCTCAGGACAGGTGAGATGCCCCAGGAGCACAGCCCTGGCCAGGTGACCCTGCCTGGCTCTGCCGCTCAGCTCCCTGGCCTCCCAGCAGTCCCAGCAGCTGTTCCCTTCAATAGCAGGACCCCTTTCCAGAAAGCAAACCCTCCCTGGAAGCCCTAGGGCCCCACAGTGCTGGCAGCCACCATCCCACAAACGCTCTGAGGTTCTCACTGTGTGTGGTCGTTGGCCTCCCAGGCTTCCAGGATCCTTTGGACCAGGCAGCACTTCTGGAACAGCTGGGGTCACAGGTGGACTGGTCAGGATCTGAGGGCCTGCATGCTCCCCTCCACCCTCCCTGGACCAAGGGGGCTTAGCAGGCAAGCAAGCGGGTAGCCTGAAGGGGAGCATCGTGTGGAGTGCTCCCAGGCGAGCAGGAAAGAAGAGACACGTCACATCGAGGACACATGCATGTGAATGCAAACGGTCCAGTGGCCCGGGAAGGTGTCACCTTTTCTTTGTGTTCTCTTCTCTCACGGGGGAGGGAGGGCAGCTCACCCGTGTCATGTGATGGTTAGAAAAGAAAGCACAGGAGAGGGTGGGGGGCCTCAGATGGCCCGCCTCAATGTCGGTGACCACGTGGTCTGGGTGGGGCTGGGTGTGCAGCAACATGCAACAACACGCCACACACTCGCTAGACTTACGTGGGTCACCATCGTGTTCTCGGGGTGGCTGGCAGCAGCCTGGGGGGCCTCTGAGCCCCCATTTCCAGGCAGAGGCTCCACCCTGCTCTCAGGCTCATGGGCTTCTGCCCTGTCCTCCCGGACAGCATGGGAGAGAATAGCGGCTATGCATAGTTCCACTTGGAAGTGCAGAAAGTTATTCCAGGTGTACTTGAAAAACAGGTCCTGGGGAAACAGGGGACGGAAGACAGTGCTGCACAGGTTTTCTCCCAACAGCAGGACCACTGGGGTCAGCGCACCGTCCCACAGGCAGGGCGGCCGGGAAGGCACTGTTCTGGGAGAACCTTCCCCAGGAGCCTGGTCTCTGCTCTCACCGGAGCGCTGCCGAGGGTCGGTCTGCGGTTAGAAGCTTAACTCATTCTATCATCCCTCTCTCTCTCTCCCTTCACCTGCACCCCCCCCCCGTCTGTCTGCCTGTCTGTCTCTCTCTCTCTATATATGTATACATTACTCACCTGAGGGTATATTTACTGATTTCAGGGAGGGAGGGAGGAGAGGAGACAGAAACGTCAACTGGCTGCTTCCTGTACGCGCCTGACTGGGGACCGAGCCCGGCTGGGGACCGAGCCACAACCCTCTGGCATAAGAGACGACACTCCAACCAACTGATCCACCCAGCCAGGGCAAAGTGTAACTCATTTTTTAGCCTCTCTATCAGTGTGTTTTTTTATTTTATTTTATTTTTTAAAAATAATATTTAGGATTTAAAAAAAGATTTTATTTATTTATCTGTAGAGGGGAAGGGAAGGAGAGAGGGAGAGAAAAATCAATGTATGGTTGCCTCTCGTGCATCCTGTGCTGGGAACTGGCCAGCAACCCAGGCATGTGCCTTGACCGGGAATCGAACCACAATCCTTTGGTTCGAAGGCCTGCGCCCAATCCGTTGACCTACGCCAGCCAGGGCTATCAGTGTGTTTCTTAAAAGGCTGTGTACTTCCTAATAAAATCCACTTTAGCTACATTCTACACATTCTACTATGTAGGATTTTTATTCTTCCTTCACGATTTTATCTTAACCCATGGGCCACTGGAAGTGTGTTCAATTCTCAAACAAACAGGAGGGACATGAACTTACGGGACGCACTTGTAGACACTGCCCATGGCAGCCTGGAGGGGCCCAGACGTAAGCTGCACCAGCTGGAGCCCGAAGAGGCTGAGTGAGGACACGGCTCCCCCTTCTCTTACGGCCTCTTCCAGGTGAGGGGAGTAGGGGGTTGGCCACGGCAGCCCGCCCGAGTCTCTGACCCCATGAGCCAGCAGTGAGGTGACACAGGCGCACCTCTCTGTACACGGCCCCGCCGCCTCACACAGAGCAGGGGTCACAGCAACCTACGTGCCAGACTCTGCTGCCTGTGCAGGGAAAGGACTGGAAAGGGGAGTGGGAGGGGGCAGGAAGGGGGACTGCAGACTCCACTGGGGGCGAGTTGGGGCCCCCCCTTCACGCCACGGACATGGCTGCGGGATGAAGGCAGAAAGCCCGCCTGCTGATGTGACCGTGACGAATCTCGCAGGTGGCTTCAGTGCTCAGCAGGCAGACCCACCTTCCAACATATGAAGCCCAGACCAGGTGGCTTCACTAGCAAGCTCTACCGAACATTTAAAGGAGACAGAACAACATGAACCCTCCTCCAACTCTTCCCCAAAGCTGAAGAGGAGGACCACTCCTTAACTCCTTCTAAGAGGCCAGCATCACCCTGACACCAAAGTCAGAGAGACGTCACAAGACAAGGAAACTTGGTCCTATGGAACAATGCCCTTTATAAAATACACATATTTTATTGATTACGCTAGTACAGTTGTACCATTTTCCCCCTTCGCTCCCCTCCACCTCGCACACCTCCTCCAACCCGCATTCCCCCCCTTTAGTTCATATCTATGGGTCACACATAAAAATTCTTTGGCTTCTACATGTCCTATACTATTCTTACCCTCCCCCTGTCTATTTTCTACCTTCCAGTTATGCTGCTTATTCTCTGTACCTTTTGCCCTTCCCACTCCCCTGCTGATAACACTCCATGTGATCTCCATTTCTGTGGTTCTGTTCCTGTTCTAGTTCGCTTAGTTCATTTTTATTTTTGTTTTAGGTTTGGTTGTTAATAACTGAGTTTGTTATTTTACTGTTCATATTTTTTATCTTCTTTTTCTTAGATAAATCGCTTTAACATTTCATATAATAAGGACTTGGTGATGATGAACTCCTTGAACTTGACCTTATCTGGGAAGCACTTTATCTGCCCTTCCATTCTAAATGAAAGGTTTGCTGGATAGAGCAATCTTGGATATAGGTCCTTGCCTTTCATGACTTCAAATATTTCTTTTCAGCCCCTTCTTACCTGCAAGCTTTCTTTTGAGAAATCGGCTGACAGTCTGATGGGAACTCCTTTGTAGGTGACTGTCTCCTTTTCTCTTGCTGCTTTTAAGATATTCTCCTTACCTTTAATCTTGGGTAACTTAATGATGATGTGCCTTGGTGTGTGCTTCCTTGAGTCCAACTTCTTTGGGACTCTCTGAGCTTCCTGGACTTTCTGGAAGTCTGTTTCCTTTGCCAGATTGGGGAAGTTCTCCTTCATTATTTTTTCAATAAGTTTCCCATTTCTTGCTCTTCCTCTTTTCCTTCTGGGACCCCCATGATTCGGATGTTGGAGCGTTTAAAGATGTCCTGGAGGTTCCTAAGCCTTTCCTCATTTTTTTTGAATTCTTGTTTCTTCATCCTGTTTTGGTTGAATATTTTCTTTCTTCCTTCTGTTCCAAGCCATAGACTTGAGTCTTGGTTTCCTTCCCATCACTGCTGGTTCCCTGTACATTTCCATTTATTTCACTTAGCGTAGCCTTCATTTTTTCATTTAATTTGTGATCATATTCAACCAATTCTGTGAGCATCCTGATTACCAATGTTTTGAATTCTGCATCTGATGGGTTGGCTATCTCTTCATTGCTTAGTTGTATTTTTTCTGGAGCTTTAAAAAAATATTTTACTTATTTATTTTTAGAGAGAGGGGAAAGGAAGAAGAAAGAGAGGGAGAAAAACACCATTGTGTGATTGCCTCTCACACACCCTCGACCCAGGGCATGGCCTGAAACACAGGCATGTGCCCTGACTGGGAATCAAACTGGCAACCCTTTGGTTCGCAAGCCGGCACTCAGTCCACTGACCCACACCAGCCAGGGCGTGGAGCTTTAATCTGTTCTTTCATCCGGGCCACTCTTCTGTCTTGGCACACCTGTTAGATAGTAAAGGGCGGAGCCACACACGCGGCTGCACCGTGGTGCTGTATGTGGGGGAACAGTGCTGATTGCTGGGCTGTCTGCTGGTTTTCAGTCACTTTCTCCACTTCCCCCAGTTAAATGGGCCCTTCTGGTGCTGACTCCCGGGTGGGTGGGTTTGTGTACGTTCTAAGACCCTGAGGGTCTCTCCAATGAACTCTCCTGTGAGGCTGGGAGTGTCTCCCGCCACCTCAACCCCCTCAGGTGTTTTCAGTCAGAGGCTTTGGGGCTTTATTTCCCTTCGGGGACCCTGGGTTGCGCGGTCTATCTTGCTCCCCAGTTGTTCCTCCCGGTTTATCCACACACGAATGTGAGACAGCAAAACGAAGCCAGCAGCACGTTAAACAGATCGCACACCATGGCTGAGTGGGATTCACTTCCAGAACTCGAGGACGGTTCACCATGACAATCAATCAGTCGATCTGGTTGATGTCCACTGACCAAAGAACAATAACCATGTAATTATCTCAAATGACACTGAAAAGCACTTGACAAAAATTCAACACTTTTGTAAATAACACACTTAATAAACCAGGAGTAGAAGGAACCTTCCTCAAGGCTCCTGCCCATGATGAAGGGCACCTACGACGAGCCCCCAGCCAACATCGAACTGACACCATGGTGACAGGCTGAGCGCCCACCCCCCGGGTCAGGAGCCACTTCTGTTCAGCACAGCACTGCAGTGTGCACGGAGCAACTAGGAAAGAAAAGGAAATAAAAGGTATCCAAATGGAAAATAAGAAGTAAAATGACCTCTTTTCCCAGATGACATGACCTTACACAAAAAAAATTCTATGAATTTCGAGACTTCCGCCAAGATGGAGGCATAGGTGGAGAAGCTGTGCTTTCTCACACAACCAAGTTTAGAGACAACTGAATATTAGCAACAGAAAACACAGCCAGAACACAGAAAATTGAACTTTTCGGAAGTCTGATAACAACAAATTCTTCAGCCTGACCGGTAAGAGGGACAAAACCAGCAGCTGGCGGAGTGGGGTTGCACAGGAAAACTCGGTCAGACGGACTCAGGCGCCCAGGCGCAGGGTTGGACCTACTGAGCGACCGAGCGAGCGACCAAGCGAGCAACCGCGGGGAAACAGCAAGGGAGCAGGGCTGCGGGTTGACTGTGGCCGCGCATTGTGTGTGGATAGACAAGCGAGGGAGTAGGGGATTGGACGGGTGCCAGCAGCCCCAGCGGAGAGCGGCAGCAGAGGGCACCGCCATTTCCCCGCTCTGACCACGCCCCCACATACAGCATCACAACCCAGCGACCTGAGAGTGCAAGGCTCCGCTCCTCACACTTAAAGGGCGTGAACAGACCAGAACTGTCTCAAGAAGATCTCAAAGCCCCAGAGCCTATAAATCTAAGCGATGAAGAAATAGCAAAACTCTCAGACGCACAGTTTAAAACACTGGTCATCAGGATCCTCACAGAACTGGTTGATTATAGCCACAAATTAGAGTAACATATGAAGGCAAAACTAATTGAAATGAATGGAATTGCACAGGAAACCAATAGCAATGCAAAGGAAACTGGGACTTATTATATGAAATGTTAAAGGGACTTATCTAAGAAAAAGAAGTTAAAAAAACATGAACAGTGAAAGGACAGCAAACTCACAGTTATTAACAACCACACCTAAAACAAAAGCAAACTAAAAGGACAGCTAGATCAGGAGTGGAAACATAGAAATGAAGATCTCAAGGAGGGTTAGCAACAGGGGAGTGGGAGAAGGAGAAGGGGGGAGAAAGTACAGAAAATAAGTAGCATAGACAGTAGATAGAAAATAGATGGGGGGGCAAGAATAGTACGGGAAATAAAGGATCTAAAAAACTTGAGACATGGTCATAAACTAAAGGGGGGGTAATGGTGGGGATGGGGGTAGGGTGGAGGGGAATGAAGGGGGGAATAGAACAACTATAATGGCATAATCAATAAAAAATAAATAAATAAAAAGAAAATTCTACAAATTTCACATAACTGTTAGACCTAATAAACCAGTTCCAAGATACAAAATCAACGCACAAAAACTAGTTGCATTTCTAGACACTAATAATCAACAATCCAAAAAATTTAATAAAGTTCCATTTACAATAGCATCCAAAATAATAAAATATTTAGGAATAAATTTATCCTAGGAGGCAAAAGACTTATACACTGAAAACTACAAAACACTGCTAAAAGAAATGAAAAACCTAAATAAATGGAAAGATATCCATGTTCATGGACTGGAAGATTAATTCTGTCATGATAAAAGTACCACCGAAAGTATTTTGCCTACGGATGCAATCTATCAAAATCCCACCCAATGGTATTTTTTATAGAAATAGAAAACCCCATTCTAAAATTCATATGGAGTCACAAGGGAGACCTAAATGACATAAATTTTATAAAGATATTATTTATTTATTTTTAAAGAGGAAGGGAAGGACAAAGAGAGGGAGAGAAACATCAATCAGATGCCTGCCTCCCCTACATTCCCCAACTGGAACCGAACCTGCGGACCAGACATGCGCCCTGACTGGGAATGAAACCAATGACCCCTCGGCGTGCAGGGCGGCGCCCAACCGAGCCACACCAGTCAGGGCCCGAAAGACAAACTCTTGAAATAAAGAACAAAGTTGGATGCACACTTGCTAAGTTCAAAACTTGCTGTAAGACTGCGGTAATTGACAGAGTGAGGTCCTGGCACGAGGACAGACAGACAGAAATGACCATTTCAAAGAAAGGACAGTCTTTTCAACAAATGGGGTGGGAAACTGGGTATCTACATGCAGAAGAAGTTGGACCCCGACCTTATGCTACACGTGAGGTCTGTCCAGAAAGCATCCAGACTCGTACTGTGAAACAGACACATTTATAAAAAGAGAGCAGGTGGGGGCCAGGTCCCCACTTCAGGGCTAAAGGCAACGGTCAATGTATCTCTCACACATGCATGTTTCTCTCCCTCTTGTCCTCCCTCCTTTCTCCTCTTTCTAAAAGTAAATAAATAAAATCTTAAAAAAATACAAGAAATATTGTACACAGGACGACCACGCTTCAGACCCCTTCAAAGTAGGCACCTTGGGACCTCACACAGCTCTCCCAGAATCTCTTCCACTGTTCAAAACACTCTGCAAAATCCTTTGTTGGAATCGCCACCAGCTGCCCCATCATATTTTCCCAAGTCTCATCAACGATCTGAAATCTCTTCCCTTTCAAAGGTGATTTTCGGTTTTGGGAACGGCCAGAAGTCGCAGGGCGCCACATCAGAGCTGTGGAGGGGCTGAGTCGCCTGGGTCGCTGACTCTTGTTGGTTGCAGCCCACACCTGTTCAACACCCTCAGGTGCTCTGCTGGTCGCAGGCCTTGAAGAATGTGGGTCACTGTCAACAGACTCTCGACCATCTTCGAAGCGTTTGTGCCACACTTTTGTCTGCACTGAACTCCCTGCATCGTCCCCGAAAGCCTCTGAATCATCCAAATAGTTTCCGCAGAGGACTGTTCAAACTTAATGCAAAACCTGATGCAGATTTTTGTTACTCAACTCGCTCGGTTATTTTGAATGTGACTGCCACACAGCACATGTGCTCACTCGATGGTGTCCACCTCCCACACCGACTAGCACAGTGAAGTCGTCACTGCTCACGCGAGCATTCCAGTCCACTCGCCTTGGCTGCCAGGCCACATTGATGTTGAACGGACCGTTCTCATGACATGAGCAATGGATGGACTTCTTCCGGACAGAACTAGTATACAAATTAACTCAAAACGGATTGAAGACATGATGGAGGTAAAATTATAAAACTCTTAAAGAAAACATAGGGGTAAGTTTCATGACAGTGGATTTGGCAATGATTTATTGAATATGACACCAATGAATGAATTGGACTTCATTAAAATTAAAAACTTTTGTGTCAAAGGGCACTACCGACAGAAAGAAAAGATAACCCACGGAACGAGAGAAATTCATATATCTGATAAAAACCTTGATCTAGAATATGTATAGAACTCCTACACCTCAAAAACAACCAAAAAATCAAACAGCCTGATTCAAAAATGGGCAAAGGACTTAGACAACTGTTGGAAGCAGATATATACATGGCCAACAAAGGCACATAAAAAGATACTCAACATCACTTATTATTAGGGAAACACAAATCAAAACCACGATGAGATACCACTTCACAGCTATTATGATGGCTACTGTTAAAGGGAAATGAAAACCGAATTTTGGTGAGCATGTGGAGAAACCGGAACCTTCATACATTGCTGGTGGTACTGTAAAATGATGGAGCCAATGTGGAAAATGGTTGGTTTCTGAGAAGACTGATCACAGAATTACTGTGCGGCCCGTCAACCCCACTTTTGGGGAGGGACGCAGAAGTGAACACAGGGGCTCGGACAGGCATCTGTGCACCCGTGCTCATGGCAGCGCTGTTCACGGTGGCCACAGGGGGGAAGCAACCCAAGGGTCCCTCGACTACTGAGTGGATGAGCGAAGTGTGGTCTGTCTGCACAACGGGAGACTATTCAGCCATAAAAAGGAAGGAAACTCTGATACCTGCTATCACATGGATGAACCTTGAAGACATTATGCTCAGTGAAATAACGCCAAGTACTGTATGAGATTCCACTTATGTGAGATCCCACGAGTAGTCAGGCTCAGAGACAAAATGTGGGTGATGGATGCCAGGGGCTGGGGGAAGGGCGCGGCGACTGACTGCTCAGCAATCAGTGTTTCTGTTTGAGAAGACAGACAAGTTCTGCAAATAGACAGCAGAGCGGCCATATATGTTGTGAATGTACTTAATGAATTAATTGTACACCTAAAAACTATTAAGTTGGTAAATTTCAGGTTATGGATTTTTTTTTATCACAATAAAAATAAAAAAGGGGGTGGAAAAGAGTGAGAATTTTTTTTGAAGAGAATAAAAGGAAAGGAGGTCTTTCACAATCCTACTGGGGTTTCCAAATGCTGGACAAACTGACAGGTGCCAGTATACTCCAGGCCCGCTCCATGGCTGGCTCCTTCTGGGATGACAATTTAAATTTAAAGGGATCTCAGCCTCCTGGGAGCAGAGACCCAAGGGCAAGGCTGAGGAGAAGCCTGGAACCATACCTGCCTGTGGGACGCACTCAGAGCCACTGCGATGCCCACCCCCCTCAGCGTTCTGCCTACCTGGCCCTCTGCTCAGACACCTGGGGCATCCTCCAGGCCACCGGGGGTGTCTGCAGATGGAGGAGTGTTCCCACGGGCTTTGACAAGTGTGAGGTGGCCCTGTGGAGAACGAGCAGCTGCCGGCCTGCGATGGGCCCTGCCCTGTGGAGTCTGGCAGCCGCACCCACTGGTGCGTGGGGGGCAGGGAGGCGGCGCAGTGCCTGCTCACCAGCAGTAAGCCCACGGTGTCGAGCCGGCAGAGCTCCTGGTTGATGCTGGGCGTGTCCGTGTGCAGCAGTGCGGCCACGAGGCGGGCCCCGTGCAGACGCGCGTTCCCTAGGGGCTCCTCCAGCACACCGACGGTGGTCAGGACCGCTGGTTTCTGCAAACACAGAAACACCGCCACTGGAGCCCTGCAGCCACTGCCACACGGCCGCTGCTTCACAAGGTGGCACTGCCTGCCAGAGGAAGTGACAGACCACAGAGAGCAGGAGGGGTCCGCCGTGCCCAGGAGCCCAGGGCGCTCTGCTCTCAGCCTGCCGGCCCCAGGGTGTGCACCCTGGTGTAGGAGCCACGTGCGTGAGCCAGGGCCAGCGTTCCTGGGGTTCACCTGTGAGCGCTCGGGAAAGAGACTGATGACGGAGCCCATCTCGCCAGACCACACATGGGTCTGTTCGGATTCCACACATGCAGCATAATACCATCTACCTTTTCATTGAGAGAATGTTCCAGAATCCCTGCCTTTGTGAAGTTTACTTCGTAGTGGGGGAGGGAGACAATAAGCAAGTTCACAAGTAAAACAGTACGACAGATCATGCTGGGTGCTAAGGAGAAGCACCAAGGATAGGGAAGGGCTGAGACTGGGGGAGGGGCTAGGTTGCCTTGGGTGGGCGGGGAGGCAAGCCAGGGTGGTGGGGAGGGGTGAGCCCTACTCCAGCCGTCAAGCTGAGCAAAGGGATCCCACTGGGAGCCTGACTCGGAGGCCAGTTCCTCAGAGACAAGGGACTCGGATTCTCAGATAACCCCTACTTCAGACAAGTCATCCAGGGGCTGCAAAATGTCCCACCCCCAGGTGTCCCCCAAGAACAGGCAGACACTGGGCAGACGTGGGTCTGAAAACAGGCCCCTGGCATCTGCCTGGCCGTCCCCAAGTCCGGCTCGGGGAGCAGCAGCGCTGGGGTGTGTTCACCAGCCCAGGGTGGACCGTGGGGTGCTTTGCTGGTGCGAGGTCCTGACCTTTGGTGGGTGGAGCAGGAGCTGGTGGAAGTCCTTCAGCCGCGGCTCAATGCCGCGCAGGACACTGTCGCTGACAGGGCACAGCCTCTCCAGTCCCTGAGAAAAGGAGTCCACCAAGCCCTCTGTCCTGTGGATGAGGAAGCAGATGGAGACAGGGACATTCCCAGGCCTCTGTCACATCCCACTCTCCTCTCGGTCAATGTCCCCACTCATCACCTCCAAAGTGGTGTGGTGATCAGTGCAGAGAACAGAGAGAGGTACCCGAGGCCTTCAGAAAATGTTCCTACGTGACAGCGCAGAGCTCCGGCGCTCGGCTGGGCCCTGACAAGCTGGTGGTGGCACACCTCTGCTTCCCTCCTGCTTTGAAAAGACCCGCAGCTGCCCCCACCTCTGGGCTGAGAAACAGGAGACAGGACCCGCCCACCCTGTCCCTCTGGCTTTTCCCAGCTGACTCCTCTGAGACCCAGTTCTAAAAGTAATGCCCAGCCCAGGAAAAGGAGTCCGCTGGACCCGGTGTCTCCCCCACTGCCGTGCTGCCCCTTCATCACATGCAAGCTGGGGCCCGGCCCACAGCAGCCCCACTGCTTACGGAAGAGTCTGGGCTCCCCGCAGTCAGGAAGGTGCAAACCCTATGTTCTGGGTACTTAACTGCAGAGAATGGTGATAGCGCTGCAATGCTCTTTTTAGATAAAAACTGATAAATATATACTGGTATCAGAGAGAGGGAGAGACTAATAATCTTACTACCAAAATTAAGACAATCTGCCCGTTTCTTGTTCTTTCTTTTTAAAAAAGCGTAAGCTATCAGCACTGGGCTGCCCCGCAGTTCCGACGCAAGCACACGCAACGTGTGGGAAGTCCACCAGCCACACCTGCTCTGCAGATGTGTCTACAGACACCGTGCAAACAGGTGACAGTGAACAACTGCAGGCTGAGGTGGGAATGTGATTGATGGCTGAGGTTGAAGGGAACTTGGCCACAGCCACAGATCTGCCTTTTCAGCAGGGAGAGTCTGTTCACGAGCTTAGGTGCACAGCTAAAAACGAGTGAAGAACAACACGCCTGACGGCTCCTTCGAACCCTGGGCCCTGCTCCGCCCCCTCAGCTGCCATGCAGCGGCCTCCCTCGGGAGAGGCGCTCACCCAGCCCGCCGTGCTTCCAACAAGGCCAGCAACACCTGAGTCCCGCTGACGAGGCAGCTTTCGGTCTGGTCTCCGTCAAACATGTTCCTCAGAAGCTGCTCCACACAGTCCTGCCTGTCGGACACACGTGGGTCACTGCCAGGTGCAGCAGATGCAGACAGAAAGGACGGTCTCTCCTCCTCGTGGAGGTGCCCTTGCTGGCCTGGATTTGCTGGCCCTGCAGGGAGGCCCCTCCCATGAGAATCAGGCCCATCAACGTAACTCTGGGGGGTGGGTAGCACTTCACCACCAGCTCATCAGAGTCTGAGTTAAGGGGGCGGCTGCGTCTGCCATCTGCCGGTGTTCAGAGCGGGCGTGGGGCCATTCTCATGACTCAGGAGTGCCCAGCACCACCCACCAGCCAAGCCCTGGCCAGCACTCACGACTCCAGCGCTGCGAGGAGGGGGTCCGGCTCCAGGGCCTCTGGCAGCTGGCCACCCTGCTCCCGGCCCAGCCGGACGATGTCACAGAGAGTCTGAGAAGCATTGGACTGCCGCTGCAAAGACAGGGACGGCACAACATGTCAGGCCGGGAGGGGCTCAGGAGAGCCAGCCTGCTGAGCAGGCAGAGCCCTGCTGCTTGACCTTGGAAAGCTGCAGGCTCTCTCCGCCAGCTCACTCCCAAGGTGCCTGCCCCACGTGCCCAGCAAGGAGATGCAGGTCTGCTCAGACTTCCAGCCACACTGCGATCCTGAGCTCGGAAGGGCTCTGTGCCTTACAGGGATGGCTGTACCTCAGACCCCTGCTGAGCTGCACTGCATGTAACGATGTTTTTTATTTGATTAACTTATTTTATTGAGTTTAGAGACAGAGCAACATCAATTTGTTGTTCCACTTAGTGATGCATTCATTGGTTGACTCTTGTATGTGTCCTGACCAGGGATCTAACCTGCAACCTTGGTGTATTGGGATGACACTCTAGCGAACTGAGCTACCTGGCTAGGGCCTGACCCTGTATGTATGTATGTATGTATTTTAAAAAGAGTTGGGTCTTTACAGGGTTATGTAGTCCAGCCAACTGCTTTTTACTTACTTATTTATTTGTTATTGTCAACTGAGAATATGCTTACTGATTTTAGAGACAGGGCAAGGGAGGAAGAGAGGGAGGGAGAGAAACATCCGTATGAGGGAGAAACCTCAACTGGCTGCCTCTTGCACAGCCCCAGACACAGACCTGGGCCCACATGTGCCTGATCTAGGAATTGAACTGGCGACCTTTTGGTTTGTGGTATAATACTCAACTCACTAAGCCACACCGGTCAGGGCCCGATAATGTATTTTAAAATAACAAGGAACTACTAATATTCAGAATGAATCCTGTGGGCTCGTGAAAATACAAGTGTTGCTACAAAGAAAACAAAGGACACACCTTTCAGGGAAATGCGAACTGCATGGACACTTCGAATCTGACTCAGTGCACTTGAGTCAGGTGAACACAGCCCAAAACTCAGCCCCGGCCCCAAAAGAAAGCTGCGCATGCGGCAGCCCCACTGGGCTGAAAGAAGTGCTTGTACCACCATTTCAGAGAAAATGAAAGCAGCCAGGTTGGCTCTGTGGCCTTGAACCTGCCTGTGGGCCTTTGGACAGGCCAGGTGGCCCCCAACGCTCACACTCACGGGGGCACGGGAGGCACAGACTCTCCCCCGGGTGACAGGAGCAGAGAACAGAGAGGCTGCAGCGCAGACCTGAGTGGGCACCACGGCTGTCAAAGCTGCTGAGGACAGCGCGCGTTCCTTTTGCCAAGTGGAGAAGGGGCCTTACCAGGAAAGACCTCGAAGGCTGCACAGTGGTTACCACGGGGTGGGGGGGCTGGCAGAGGAAGCCCACTGCCCCCCAACGAGCTTCTCCACGGGCAGCGGGGCTCCCTCCCAGCGCTCTCCCCTCTGCACCTGGCTCCTCAAACACAAACACAGCCGGAACTAGCTGCGCCCTCCAGGGAGCAGAACACACCGGTGAGGATGCTCCCTCCAAAGAAGAGGTTGCAGAAAACTGGCTCCCGTCCTGCTCTCTCTGTGGGAAGCCAGCACCAGGCTGCGAGCTGCCCTGTGGACAGGCCGTCCCCAGAGCATGGTGCTGAGCGTAGCCCCAGAAGCAAACCCCCTCAGCTGAGTCCTCAGACACCGTGCCCAGATCCCTGACCTACAGACACTGAGATTAAAAATACGTGTGCCCTGGCCAGGTGACTCAACAGGTTGGAGCGCCGTCCTGCACACTAAAAGGGTGTGGTTTCGATCCCCTGTCAGGGCACAGGCCTGGTTTGGGGGTTCAATCCCAGGTCAGGGCATGCGCCCTTCCCCTCATGTTATAATCAATAAACAAATCCTTGGAAGAGGATTAAAGAAAAAAAACTTGTTATGTGCAAGTAAGTTTAGGGTTAGTCTATTACTTAGCCATAATACAATTCTGATCAAATTGCTTTTTATAATATGTATGCATTATTTTCAGTAAAAAAAAGTCTAGAAGTCAGTGCTTGATTAAAGAAAGGAAAAAAGGTGTGCCCCAGTCCTCGTCTGAGGACAGGCTGACTTGCCCCTCAGACAGCAGCAGAGGACGCTGTCCAACAGCCCAGCGAGGGGCTCCTGCAATGGTGGGCTCAGGAAGCGCCTACTCACATCTTCATCCTCATCCGGATGGATCAGCTCCACCAGCCTCTGGATGATCTTCTCTTCATTAAGCCACTGAAAGGGGAAAAGAGGCCTGTCGATGACTGCTCACGGCTAACTGTGTGGCAAAGAACCTTTCTGCGTAGCAGAGACCCAGACTCCAGGTCCCACAGCAGGCCCTGTGCCCTACCAGGGAGCCAAAAACACAGCAGTGACTGAGTTCTGGAGTGACCAGAGTTTATAAAGGAGGAGACACTGTCTCTGTGTCCAAATGGAGCAGGCTCCTTAACATCTGCAAGCTCTGTCTTTAGGAAACCATATGAGCACTGAGGGGTTCTCCCAGTGCTGGCCCAGCTCAGCCTCTGGCCCCAGGGCATCAGGGCCTTTCCAGGATCAGGAGCCGAAGGACCCTGGTGAGGCTGCAGGCGCACCATGAGTACTGACATGCTAGGCACTGCTGGAGGTCAAGGGTGAGGTAAGCCAGGAAGCCCTGGGTCGTGCCTGGTTCCACAGGGCACCTCCTCGTCCAGAAAGGAGATGAGCCACATTCAGGACTGCGAGGCACAGGCCAGCACGGGCTGCCCATCAGCTTGAGGGGCCACTGAGGCTGCCACACACGCCAGGGGCTGCTGGCCACTGTGACTGACTCTCAGTGGGAGGCTCTCCAGAGATGCCTAAGACTGAGCACTGCCACCTTGAGGACAACTGTCGCCCGCTTCCAGGAGCTGGAAAATGGGCAAGAACCAACCGTTTATTTTAAAGTGAGTGGCAAACAAAACCACCACACACCTGTGAACAGCTTTCCTGGGCTTCACTGGCTTGAGAACCCCCTTTTCTGGGAAAGCCCTCAAGGAGCCACGGACAGCTCCTCTCGCAGTCAACACTGGGCAGGACAGACATGCTCATGCACTCCAGGACAAATGACAGCCACCGTGGTCCCTGTATGGCATCCCTATCATCTTGTGCTTCCCTCCCGGGTCTGGGCCCAGCTCGCTGAGCCTGGGGCTGGGAGGGCGGTGAAGAAAGTTCTTTCTGCTTCCTCATGGAGCAGAGGCCAGAGTTTTGAAGGAGAAGGAGCCACTCTGCTCTCTGCTTCTCAATGGACTGATGAAGATGAGGGAACAGGTGCTGAGTGCAGACCAGGCCCGAGTGTAAGCCTTGCCAAGTGGCCGGTGACCCCGGAGGGAGGACAACGTACGGCTGGGAAGCTGGGAGTGCCAGGTGGGTTTGCCACCTGCTCAGAGTCTCCAGACACGGCAGACAGGGGCGTGGCTCTGTGGGCAGAGCCCACACGCTCACCTGTAGCACTTCCTGCCGGAGCCCGGCGGGCTCCACACAGCTGACCAGGCGAAGAAGCAGGTCCATGAGGGCCGAGGTGCCGATGTGCTTCAGGACCAGGCTGATGAACTTGTCTTTCTTCTTTAGGAACACAATCACCTGAAGTCAAACACACTGGTAAGCAACGGGGACAGACCCCAACACCAGGAGATAGCACTGAAGAAAGCCCACGAGAAAGACTAATTTTCAATGACGTTGCGCAGCAATAATGGGAAGACCTGGAGTATCTGTGAGTGAGACCTCTGCCAGGACGGCAGAGAGACCCGCACACAGGGCCCTCCTGGAGGCCGGGGAGGAGGGCGTCCTAGGCTGGCAGGTGCGCTGGCAGGCGGGCCTCCGTGAGAATGGGACGCAAAGAGCCCGAGTGACACCACACAGGCTGCCACACCACACAGCAACCCCCCAGGACACACCGGCTCAAGGTGTCAACAGAAATGACAGGTGTGGCTCATCTTGAGCCAGCAGATGACGGTCACCGGTGACAGCTTCTGGACCTGGGATGCTAACCCAGAGAGCATAGAGCACAAAACACAGCCAGGCACCCGCAGCCCCAGGAGAGGCCGAAGGGAGCCGTGACCCAGTTTGAGACAGAAGAGGCACCGACACTGGCCGAGGAGGTGAAAACAGCTGAGTGGGAAGTGTGGAGCCCCGGGGCAGCAGGCTCAGCAGCCAGCACTGTGGGTGGGCTGCTCAGGAGGCGGCTGCAGGCAAGTGTGCAGGGAGAGGAGTCCGCCGGGCAGAGTCCACCTGGGCTGTGTGTCTGCATGTTCAGCGGCACTCGGTCCAGCCAAAGACGGAGCACCTGCACGTCCAGGCCACTGTGCCCGGTGGACCCAGAACCCCACTGGGAACAGTGAGGTCAGGGAGAAGAACCATCAGCTGGGGGTGTCGGCCACACTCACACTGAGCAGGGAGGGAGGAGAGGAGGAAGAGAGAGGGAGAGAGGTAAGAAGGAAAAGAGGTGGGAGGAGGGTTGTTTAAAATGAGAGAAAGATTATTAGGAATAAAACAAGGGACATCACTACAGATCCTACAGATACAAAAGCTCTTATGCAAGGTTATTAGGGACTTTATGCCGATTTATGCCAACTTAGAAAAATAAAAAAGTTTCCTTGCAAAATATATGTACCTGAATTGGCAGGAAGAAATTAAAAACCTGAACAGCTCTGTAGTATCAAAAGACACAAAATCTGCTTTCTGTGAGAAAACTCCAGGCTCTACTGGCCTTAGTGAACTCCCCCAACACCGAGAGAGGAAGAGCCCACACTTACACCCAGTCTTCCAGGGACACAAACATGACAACATGCCCCATGTCACTGTGCACCAACATAAGACCTGCAACCTAAACACCCAGTTAGGGCATCACAAGGGGGAAATCATGAGCCAGTCTCACTGATGACCACAGGTGAAAAAATGCAACGCTATGAAAGAAAGCAGCCCTGGCTGGTGTGGCTCTATGGGTTGAGCACCAGCCTGGGTCCCAGTCTCTGCTTCCATTCCCAGTCAGGGCACACGCCTGTGCTGCAGGCCAGTCCCCAGTACAGGGTGAGGGAGAGGCAACCACAACTGATGTTTCTCTCCCTCTTTCTCCCTCCCTTTTCCTCTCTCTAAAAATAAATAAAATCTTTGAAAAAAAGAAAGCATATCACAATCAAGTTGGCTATATTCCAAGAAATCAAGGTTGGTTTAACACTAAAAACCATTCAGTGAAATGAACCTATTTACAGAATAGAGAAAAAAACCCTGTATGATCAAGTAAATACATACAATAAAAAATTCAATACAAATTGAAAAAAACTTCATTTATTACTTATTCTTAGGGAGAAGGGAAGGGAGGGGAAAGAGAAGTAGAAAACACCAGTCACCTCTCACACAGGGACCGGGCCTACAACCCAGGCATGTGCCCTGAGTGGGAATTGAACTAACAACCTTTAGGTTTGCAGGATGACACCCAACCAACTGAGCCATGCTGGCCAGGAAAAAAATTCAATAAATTTTAACAACCATTCAAGTTGTAAACTAAAGAGACTAGGAGTAAAGAAAATTCCCTTAAATCTGATAAAAAATTACAAAAACCCCACAACAAACACCATACTTAACTGTTAAATGTGGAAAGCACTTCCTTCGAGACAATAAAACAAGGAGGTCCTGGCTGGTGTGGCTCAGTGGATTGAGCGTCAGGATGCAAACCAAAGGGTCACCAGTTCAAGTCCCGGTCAGGGCACATGCCTGGTGGGTGCTGGGTCCCAGTAGGGGGCACACGAGAGGCAACCACACACTGATGTTTCTCCCCCTCTCTTCCTCCCTCCCTTCCCCTCTATCTAAAAATATATAAATAAAATCTTTAAAAATAATAATAATAATAATAATAATTAATAAAACAAGGAAGCCCACTATCTCCACTTTATTCAATGTTGTACTAAAGGTCCCAGCCAGTGCAGTAAGCCAAGAAAAAGAGACAAAAGGTCTAAGAATTATAAAGGCCAAAATAAAACTGTCATTAATCACAGATAATATATTTTGTACATAAAGAATATAAAGATAAATCATCAGAACAGCAGCCTCACTGGTAACCGCCAGAAACGGCGGTCAGCCCGGACGGACCGGCTGCGGAGCACGCAGGGCACACACGCTGCTGCGCAGGAAGGGAAGCGCGGGCCTGGCGTGCTCGAGGCTCGGGGGGCCGGAGCGTCATCCCACGGACCGCAAGGCTGCAGGTTCCATCCCTGGCTGGGACGCATTCGAGAAGGTGACCAATCAGTGTTTCTCGGTGGGAGAGGGAGAGAAACATCAACACGTGGTGTTTCTTCCGGACTGGGAACAGAGTCACCCACTGCGTCCCCAGAAGTTTTCTCCTACTTGCCTTGAAACAGGAAGTGCCCTAGACAAAGGCACCGCCATCCACACAGAGGGACATCAGACCTTAGAGGGTGGGCGCCCTACAGCCCTGCCACGACTCAAGCACGGCCCTGGACTGGCTGGTGACAGGACGGGCCACCCTCGCCTGGGCCCTGCGCAGTTCCCAGGGGTGGAAGGAAGTGCTGGTGTCCAGAGTCGGTGGCAGAAATACCTCTTGGGAAGCCACGTTCTTACTCGACTTCCAACTCACATAACAGCAGCCCACAGTGCCCCACTGAGCCCCACGCCACGGCTGGGAACACTGCCCCACAGCCTGCTGACCCAGCCACACCGAGGTGGCTGACAGCGAGCTACGTGGGCACTGCCAGGCCAGCCCACAGACCATGTGGGCCTGGCAGACTTTGTACCTGCTCCGTCTTTCTCGCGATGAGATTGCCGATGGTCTTGCTGAAAAAACTGGCAAGCAGGGGATTGAGAGGTGGCTCTCGGCCCAGGAAGTCATACAGAAGGTCCAGCAGAGCCTCGTCGCTCCCCAGACGGTCGTTGATCTGTGGCACGTCGCAAGTCAGCAGCTCGCAGGCCGTGTTCGGGTACCTGAAGGGCACAACACCAGCAACTGAAGTGAAATTAGACCCTCCGACCCCGGGAAGCCACTTCGATCATCTGCCACCACGGAAGCAGACCCTCTGGGGACAGCAGTCACTGGCAGGCCTCGGAGCAGGACAGAAGTGCCACTAGGCCTGTGACTGGCTGGTATTTCCGGCCACTAGGTCAGCGTTTCTAACCCACAACTTCCTGGCCCTTCTCGCCCAGCACTCTCTCCGAGCCTACCAGGTCTCCCACCACCTGTCACCACCAGTTACTGAGGCCAGGTCCCCATCATGTCTGTCCTCCCTCTTCTCCATGCCCTTCCTGTCCCTGTGTATCAAAAAGCACGGGTCCGGCCCTGGCCAGGCAGTTCAGCTTGCTGGGGCCTCATCCCATATCCAGGGAGCAGCCACTTTGGTTCCTGGTTGGGGCACATACCTGGGCTGTGGGCTCTCTCCCTGGTCGGGACATGTGGGGAGGGGAGCAGGTTGATATTTCTCTCTGTCTCTCTCTCTCCCCCCCTTCCTCTCTGAAGTCAGTGCACATACCCTTGGGTGACAAATCAAAGGAAAAAAGCACAGGCCCAGTCTGTCCCTAGACAGAAGCTTACCATGCTGTACTGGTTAGGAGGTGTTATGCAGGCAAATTACCACTAAGTGACACCAACATCTGTAAGCAATGCACTATGGCCAGATACACAATGACCCTCATCCCATTACCAGCGACCCCATGCCACCACTGGCTCCCTGCCTTCCTGTATGACATGCGGGCTCATTGCTGCGCCCAGGACAGGCTGCCTACTGAACACCCTGCTGTGGCCAGGTCAGAGCCCAGAGCCCAGTGCCCGTCGTAACGCCCAGTGCTGTGTCTCGGGGGATGCCTGGGAACACAGGGAGGCAGCCATGCCCAGAGGAGACAGGGACCCTGGGGGGGGGCACCCTGTGGGCTGACTGGTACACACCTGGCATGAGAAGGGACAAGCTGTGCAGCCCTAGGCACATGACCTAACCTCTCTGTGCCTGTGCTTCCTCGTCATTTGAACATAGAGGTGTGAGCACCCAGCTCCCCTCAGGCTGTGTGTGAAAGCCAATGAGTATCACGGTGAGCTGGGCAGTGTCGAGGTCGGCTGGGCAGTGTCGAGGTCAGCCACTACAATACTCCTGCCTGGTAGCCACCAACACAGGCCTGAGCACAGGCCTAAGCCCAGTGGTCACTGTGGACCAGCTGGAGGGGCCTGGGTCTGAGACTGCAGGAAACAACCGCTGAAGCACGGAGGGGCAAGGAGTGACCTCGTGCTGCTGTGAGCAGTGTTCCTCGCTGGTCCAGAGACAGCACCTCCCAGGGTTCAGAGATAGGGCTGTGTGCACAGCAGGTAGGACCCTGCAGGTTCATGGGAGGAGGGCAGTTAACAGGCAGGCCCTGACTTAAAAGGGGCCCAGACAGAGGTGTGGCCAGTTCCAGGGAGGGGTGGCCAGTGCCTACCTTGGGGGACTAGGACAAGGATCAGACAAGGTGGCTCAGCACTACTGTGTAGTGAGTGGTGACAACCAGCATGGCAGAGAACACATGCCCACCAGGAGCAGGAGGCCATGGGGAGTATGGTCCGAGGGCAGAGCAGGAGGGCCAGGGCAGCGGCACCGCAGCTGGAGCAAAGTGCCACGTCGGCAGGCAGAGAGACGTCCACCAGCGTCCAAGCGAGAGAAGATGTGCTGAGCGCAGGCAGACTCAGGCCCAGAGAAGAGCACAGCCACTCCCTCCAGGGGGCCCTGCAGAGCTGACAGGGAGGCCCAGGCCTATCCGCACACACAGGCCCACATGTGCACACTGCCCTGACCCCTCAGAGGGGACTGTGACTTTATCAGTGCTTTTATATCATTTGTCAAAAAAGGGGGCTGCTTCACTAGATGATAAAATTCACACAAAGAGGAGGAACTCCAGTTAGGGCAGACCACGCCCACAGATCTGTCACCATTGCCTCTCAAAGTGACTCCAAAAATACAGAGAAAAAAGGCAAGGACGGGACATGATGCCAGGTGATACCTGGAGGATGGAAAGTGGTGGCCCAGTGAGGGCAGCCTGACACCCAGGGAAGTCCCAAACATGAGGCCTGGGTGGAGGTGGAAGCTCCCTGGAAGCTTTGGGGAGCAGGGACGCTCCTGCCCTCCCTCACTGGGTGGGTGCTGGCACAGGCACAGGACTCAGAGGCTCCGTCATCCCTGGGAAGAAGTGCACCAGAGCAGCTCCCAACTCAGCACTGCCAGGCACAGCTGAGCGGGTGATGGGACCCTGTCCAGAAGCAGGACCCAGCCCAGACAACACTGCCCCTCTTTCAGACTCAAGGTGCTGCCGGGTCGACCTGCCACAGGTACGAGCTGGAAGGATTCTTTTCTGGAGAAACTGATGGGACAGAGACAAAAGTCAACCGGCTGTCACCTAACCAAGTGGCCAGCACCTGTCGCCCAGTGAAGCACGGTGAGCAAGCCCCACACAGACCCCAAACCGGCCAGGCCTTAGTGCCTCTCTGCCCAGGAACATAGTGCTGACTGAACAACCGAAAACATGACGCACGGAGCAGAGAGAGTGCGCAGGCAGAAGGAAACTGCCCAAACGCTACACACTGAGTCAGCAGCCGCAAACAAGAACTGGAGGCTTGTGTCTAAAATAGGAGAATAAGAAAGGCCTCTTAGGAATTAAAGATGATAGAATGTTTTTTAAATCAACAAAAGACAGAAAGATAAAATCTGAAGAAACCTCTCAGATGTAAAAGGCGAAGACATCCGGGGTGAACATAAGACAGCATGCGTTTGGTCGATCTGACACCCATGTGATATCCCAGGGAAAACAGGGGAAACTAGGGAGTCGGGGGATTACCTAGGAAAGAATACGGGAAGTTGCCTGTGCTGAAGGCCACGAACTTACAACCTGGAACGGCCCGTGGGGTACCGAGCACAATGAGTGCGTGCCTTAGCGTGCGCAGGTAAAGAGCACCTACTGCTGAGCTGGCCTCCGTGCTCCAGGCACATTTGCTGACCTCACAGTTCCCTCCCCTGGAGTCACCAGCTTCTCCTGTTCGGTCTGCTCAGCTTGGCACCTGGTGCTCATTTCTCCCAGACACTCAGACTAGAAAATGCTCCTGGCTCATGGACACTGCCCCGAGACCCCTCTGCCTGATTCCACGCTCTTCCCATCTGACCTGACACCAGTGCCCTCTAGACAGGGAGACGGCAGACACCCAACAGGACGCACTGGGGAGGGAGCGGGTGAAAGGGGCGGCGGCTGGGAACGGTGGGGCGGAGGCCACACTCACTGACCAGGAGCATCCCACACACAAGGGCCTCTACGTGGCCTTCCACAGATGGTGGGCACAGGGTCTCAGCCCTGACTCCTCCACAGACAAGTCCCCTGCCTTCCAAAGGATCGACTGTCCCACCCCAGGCACTTCCTGCTGTCCTACTGGCCTGACTTCACGGGTCCAGCACACTTGGTGTGAAGGGCAGAGGTGAGGACTCAAGGTGATCTCTGGTCACAGAACAGGGTTTGGTGTGCTAATGTTCCAGCAAAGAGACATTTGTGAACGATAAAATGCAAATTCAGTGTCATTTTCACTTGTAACAATCATTTAAAAACAGAGACCTGTTCTTAGCTTGCAAGTCACACAAAAACAGGATGTGACCTTCAGGCCTTGGTTTGCTGACCCTGTTCTAAGACCTCCCACCACTTGCTGTCCGGCTGCCTGTCTGGCTGTCTGTCCTAACACACTTACTCAGGCCCCAGTGGGCACCCTGCGAGCCAGAGGCTGGGTCTACTCTGTTCTTCCTGTCACCCAAGGTCCCTTCCCTTGTCCTCATACCCTCTGCCCTCATCCCAAGTCCTTGCCACAGCACCCCTGCCCTTCTGTCTTCTTGTGACAGACTGGTCAACTGTTGAGTGAGACATTTTGGTCACTAACAACGTGACATGGTTCTTGTGAGCCCAGGACGCCAGAGTTAAGCATTTCCCACAGTCTCTCCCAAGTGGCATTTCGTCAGGCAGGGACCATTTCCTGTGGGAGGTGCAGCCCTGTCCGTCTGTCTGTCTGTCAGGCTCCTGCTGCAACTCCACCTGCAGCTCTGCCGTGGCGGCGTCTGTCTTTGTCTTCCAGAATATTTTCCCTCCAAAGAGCCCAACACACCGTACAACTTCCTATAACCCAGACTGAAAAGTCACACCCCGCCCCACAGGAGTAATGCATGGCTTCTCCATCAGAAATGCATACCTCCCAGCCCCGGCTGTCTCCCTTCGGCCCCGCCCAGCACATACTTGAAGCGGACCTTCTCCTCCATGTCCAGGGGTGGCTCCTGGGTGACAAGCCTCACCAGCTCCTCCATGCACTGCGGCCGGCACAGGAAGTCCAGCAGCTTCCGGTTCTGAGCTTTGCACTCCTGCAAAATGTCATCTTCATCCATCAGCTCCCGCAGTGTCACGTCCTCCTTATCCAGCAGCTTATCGACGTGGGATGTGGTGTTCAAGTCAAACTTCCAGAACATGTTGACAGCCACCGAGCTGCAAGCAAGCCCAAGAGGGTCACTTCTTGCAGCAACTCTGCCCCAAAGTCCAGGAAGCCTGTCCCCAACAGGGCCTTCGCTGGAGGAGGCCTGCACGCAGGAACCTCTGACCACACCTGTCTGGGTCAGGCTCCCAGGTCAGCAGGGACGTCCCAGCTCTGGTTCCCTGCTGGCTGACCGGCCTTCTGTACTCTCCTTTGGCACCCCTGGGTACTCTCACTCCCTGGCTCCCTCAGGAGGTGTGTCTCCCTCGTGTCGACCTGGATGCCCCTCCACCCCAAGAAAGGTAATGACTCGCAAGCCCTGTCCCCAGCATCTGGCCCCTCCTGAGGGAGCACTGGAGACATGCAGTTTTGATTCTCGGTATATGATGCCCTGGCAGCTCAGAACTCCTTTCTGGGTGGGGATAAACAGCCCTTCCTGGGGCTGGCCCATTCTTAGAGACAGCAAAGGGCCCAGCAGGGGCAGGCCCGTGACTCTGCACATGTCCATCCAGAGTGACTCCTCCCTATGCCTACCTCTTCCCCACCACCCCCAGGCAATACCCCTGCCTTCACCCCAGGGCCAGGCCAGGCTATGAGGGACCACCCTGTGGCATAGCGCCTGCTGGAATTATACACACTGGCCAGCCTGCCCTGCCCACAGGCCCTGCCTCTTTCTCCGTGGAACCCCGTAAAAGGCTGTGCCTAAGCACTCCAACACCAGTCCTCTGCCCCAGACACCCCTGGGGCTCTCCACCACGTCCCTGCACGAGGACCGGGCCTCCTTCTCTGGGACCTGTGAGTGCAGCCTCTTTGTTTCCCTGAGACTCTCTTGCGTCTCCTCTGGTGGCCACACCTGGCTGACCATCTCCTGAGAGAATCCACTGAGCCACACCAGCCAGAACACCTCACAGAACGCAAGCTCAGCAAGTCCCACTCAAGTCAGCTTGTTTCTCTGGACCCTCTGCTCCTCTGCCACCCCAGCCCGCCGGCCCCTCCTTCCGCCATTCCCGCCCTGCTGAACAACCCAGGGTCGTCCTTGGAACCACCACGTCCCTCATACCCCACTGGGCCCCAAGACATTCTACCAACCCAGCCCTTCCTCTGTGTCCCACAAGCCAGTCCAGGCACGTGCTGTCCCTGCCAGGATGGTGTAAAGGGAGCCTCACCTGTCAGGCGGTGGGCCCAGCTCCCCGTTCGACATAAAATAGAAAACATAAAGCCTGGGTCTTGCACAAAGGAAACCTGTGCTTACAGACTACAAATCCTGACAGTGTTATAAGAAACTTCATTTGCAAAGTTATGATAATAGTGGATGGATTCTCCATGTTGGATTCACAGCAGTACAGCTACCCACGTGATGTGAATGAGCCTACATGACAGGCACCACTGCCCAGCCGTCCCTCCGGCAGCCTCTTGTACCTGTGGCACAGGTTCCCTTCTCCAAGCCGCCAACATCTTCACACTCCTTCCGTGTCACTTCAAACCTGCCAGAGCCCAACACCCTCCATGCACCAGGCTGCTTTACAGGGGCCAACAGGCCTTGGCTGTCCCCGACCCCTACTGCCAAGCCCACCCTGGCTGCAAGGACACAGTGCCCTCCCTCTTCTGCCGTCACCCTGCACTTGCTTTTATGCTCCAACAAACCCTCCTCGGACAGAGTTCCCCCCAGAGGACGGATTCAACCACATCAGAAAGTGCACTAATGGATTAATAATTTCAATTAAAGACAGAAATGGTCGGACTAGACTTGAAAAAGCAAGAACTATGTGCTGAGTATAAAAACATAATTTTAAATACAAAGACACAGACTAAACCCTTTTTAAAAGGTTGGGAGGGCAGATGCAGCCTGCAAACGCTCCTTTTCTGCCCTGCTTGCTCTAGCCGAGCCACCTTCGCACCCCCGGGCGCAGGGCAAGTGCTGCCCTCCCGCTACGTGCCGGGGACGGTCCCCTTCCTCCAGGTCCGAGTCCACACAGGGCTGGTGTCACTTGCTCCTAAAACACCCGACAGATTTCACCAGGGTCGAAGGTTTTCTTTGGTGATGGATCAAATCACAAATTCCACTCCTTTAACAGGTATTTTCTATCTCTACTTGCTTCCACTCTGGTCATTGGCCCGCTGAGGATCCATCAACTGCAGTTTCTCATACAACCTTGGAACCTTTAATGTCAAGTCGTTGCTACAGCAACACCCCTTTCATTCTTATGTATTAATAATGCCTGTCCTCCTCCTTTTTCTCTTCATCACTGCAACTAAATTTCATTACTTTTATTGGTCTTTGTTTAAATAAAGGTTTTATTTATTTAGTTTTAGAGAAATGGGAAAAGGGAGAGAAGCAGCGATGTGTGAGAGATACCTTGATTGATTGCCTCTCGAGTGCCCCCTACTGGGGACTGGCCTGCATCCAGGTATGTGCCTTGGCTGGGAATCAAACAGGCCACCTTTTGGTTCACTGGTCGGCACTCAATCCACTGAGCCACACCACCCAGGGCTTATTGGTCTTTTTTTTTTTTTTTTTTTTAAGTAACCAGCTTTTGTCTTCATTTTTTTCTCTATTAGTTGTCCATTTTCTATTTCACTGGTTTCCTCCTTTGCCTAATTTCCTCTCTACTGCATACTCTGGGTGTAATTTGTTCTTCTCTTTCTAGCTTCTTAAGGTAGAGGCTTTTTAGGTCACTGATTTCCTAGACTTCTTTTCTGTTATAAGCACACAGAGCTATAAAGTTTCCTTCAAGTACCGCTTTAGCTGCATCTCACAGGTTTTAGTATTTCTAATTTCCCTAGTTTTTCTTTGACTTCTAGGTTATTTAGAGTTACAATGCTCAGTTTTCTAATTATTTTTGGACTTTCTGACTGGTCTTCATGGCTGATCATCTACCTTGTGCTGTGCTCAAAGAGCAGGCTGACATGGCTGCCCTCCTCCAAACACACTGGCACTTGGTTCGTGGCCGAGGCGGGGTCGGCAGGTTTCTCTGGTGAGGAGCTAAGCAGCCATTATTTTCAGCTCTGCAGGTGCTGTGGGGTCTCTGCCGCGTGTCCTTTTCCTTCTTCTTCCTGACGACTCTTTAAAACATACAAGCCATTCCCAGTCGGCAAGCCACAGAGAGCCCAGCAGGGCTGGCCAGCATGGGCTGCAGGGACCTCCTCGGTGGCCCTGTGACACAGCCCCTCCCGGGAACGTGGTGTGCGCACAGGAAACAGAGCTCACTCTGCTGCTGCCGGTGGGTCAGTTAGTGAAGTGAGTTGATAATGGTAATATAATATCAACAGGCAAAATCCACTGATTTCATGGTTACTTCTGCCAAAGTTGAGAGGAGAACTGCCATCTCCAACTTTAACGGGCAGATTTATTTACCTTTCCCTTTGATGTGAAAGTTTCTGCTTCATGCATTTTGAGTTTATTTTGTTGCGTGGACACACATTTAGAATTGTTATGTCTTCCTGATGAGCAGCCTCTCCGATCCCCTGAGATGCCCGACATCACCTCTGGCAACACAGGCCGCCCCACCCAACCGAACCAGGCGGACCCCCGTGCGCATGTGCTGAAGGACTGGACAGCTGGGGGCCGAGCGACCCTCTCCGCGCCACTGCCCCAACCGCCTGTGCTCAGTGTCTACTCAGTGTCTCAAACCTTGTCACTGCTCTCTCATCGTCACAGGGATCTGCGATCAATGACCTTGGTTGACGTTACTACTGTAATTGCTATGGGGCTCCCCAAACTGCACCCACAGAAGACGGCAAACTGGGGGATACAGGTGGCGTGTTCTCACTGCCCTGCAGACCAGCCGTCCCCGTCTCTCTCCCTCACCTCGGGCCTCCCGTCCTCTGAGACACAACAGCATTGAAACCAGGCCGATCGATGACCCTACCTCGGCCCCTAGTGGTCAAGTGAAAGGAAGAGTCAACGTTTCTCACTTTAAATCAAAAGCTAGGAACGATTGTTTTGGTGAGGAAGGCGTGTTGAAAGCTGAGATAAGACAAAAGCCAGGCCTCCTGCACCAAACAGTCAGCCCAGTCGTGAAAGCCGAGGGAAGGTTCTCCAAGGAAATTAAAAGCGCGACTCCAGTGACCATGCGAGTGGTCAGCAGGCGAAGCAGCCGCACTGCTGAGAGGGTGGAAGATCAAACCAGACGCAACACTCCCTGAGCCAGAGCCCACTCCAGAGCAAGGCCCCCCTCCGCTCAGTTCTGCGAAGGCTGGGAGGCGAGCAGGCCGTGGGAGAGACGCCTGGAGCTGGCGGAGGCCGGCTGACGCGGCTCAGGGAGAGCAGCCGTCTCTGCAATGCGCATGTCCGGCGAGCGGCAGCAAGTTGTCCAGAAGGTCCACTGAGATGCCGCTGAAGGCGGCTTCAGTCCTCCGCCGACTTCTACACGGCCTCCTAGTGCAGACGAACAGCCTCGCACCGGAAGAGGTCGCCGCCATGGACTTTCAAAGCTGGAGTGGAGAAGGCCCTGCTGGCTTCCAGCGTCAGGGACGGGCCGGCTCTCCTGGGAGGGGCTCATGCAGCCGTGAGGCTCGGTGGAAGCCAGTGCTCCCTCACCACCGGCCGACCCTCGGGCTCCAGGAATGCGCTCGTCCGCTCTGCCTGTGCTCTGCAGATGGACACCAAAGCCTGGCAGACGGCTCGCCTGGGCACAGGACGGTTTGCCGAGCGAAGGGGGCCCACGGTGCAGACCTGCTGCTGCTCGGAAGAGAGGGCTCTTCCCAACTCGTAGGCTCACTGGCAGTGCACCCGGTCACCCAGCAGCCCTCTGATGGGGACGGACAAGATGAACGTTGTCTTCGTGCCTTTCCACAGCTCTTGGATCACGGACTCATTCTGACTTTCAAGTCTTACTGCTTAAGAAATACATTTTGCAAACCTTAGCTGCCGTAGTGATTCCTCTGATGGATTGGGGCAAAATCAGGTGAAAGGGACTCACCATTCTAGGTGCCATTAAGAACATGAGTGATCCGTGGGAGGCGGTGACGACAGTGTGGAAGGAGGTGACTCCAACCCCCTTGGCTGGCTTCG